GGAGTGGGGTTGAGCTGGGAAGGAGGGAGGGGTGGGGGGAAGGTGTTCTAAGATTTGATTTTACTTCCTATAATCCTTGTTTTGATTTGACTTGTAGTCAATTAAATTGATTTCGTTTCTTCCCCAAACTAAGCCTGTCTTTTACCCGTGACCGTAAGTGATGAGTGATCACTTCTCTCGACTCATGAGCCTGTCTTTATATTTTCTCCCTCAACCCACCATAGCTGGGGGGAGGGCGGTGAGCGAGCGGCCGCGTGGTACTTTGTTACCGGCTGGGCCGAAACCACGACACTCATCAGAACACAATCCACCACTCTCTGAAACACAAGCCCCAGATACAGGGATGTCTCATAAAAAAAAAAGGCTCCACAGAGTCCAGACAACACAGGCGAGTCTATCATTCGGGAACTCAAACCCAGCACAGCCAAGCACAACAACCCTCCAGGAGGGCTGAAAAAGCACAGGGCAACCACAGCTCCCAAGCACTCTCCATATACTTCCATTCTTCCAGACTCATTTTCCACCGCCACGCTGAATGGCAAGCTCTTGCTTCCCGTTCAGGCAGGCATGCACTGCCAGAACAACACAGCAAGAACCTCAGTACCCAGGGGCATTAGTCCCCTCGGAATAGCATGACCCACTCAGCACACAGCCAAACAAAAGCCACGAGGACAACACCATGGCATTTTTACTTACAACATCCGCTCAATGCCCAAAACATCCACCCCATGACATGGATTGTGATCCCTCCTTCATATACGCTTGCTGCCACCCACTCAAGCTGTGCCTCGAAGCAGCAGGAAAGCAACGAGAGCAGGCAGTGGTGCTTTGCTGCTCCAAACCTACAGGCATTACAATCCTGGCAACATTCGGTTGATCCAACAGCAAGATACCATGACAAAACAGGAACAAAAGTACATCTGCCTCTCAAACTCATCCTCTTCAGGTATGAACAACTTAGCGGTAGAATCACTGGTTGCTTCTTCAAAATAAAAAACGTTTTCAGGACAGCAGAAACAATGGCTTGAAGGGACATTTGCAATTAACATTATGAGAGATTCCTGGGGAAGCTGGACACAAAAAAAATTACTCATGTTCTGCAAAAGCCTGGAAAACGCTACACAGTGCACAGTGCTCCCTTATGCACTTCTATC